CACACACACACACACACACACACACACACACACACACACGCCCGTCGTGTGGGCAAACGGCCACTGTTTATTTTGACGCACTAGCACGCTCCTTTCTATCGTGCGTAGCATTCCATAACCCGAATCTGGGTAAGGTGGATCCCACTGCCGGTGCAGCTCATGACTCTTCGAGAAGTAGTGTGTTGTTGTGTTCGAGATACCAGCTTTCAAAGAATCGCTTCCCATTAGATTGAATCCCAATTAATTTCCAAAATTGATGTCACAGTGGAGGTGTTGAATCATTAGCTACATACCAGGTACATGGAGAGTCGGTTGTAGTTGAGGTTAACAGGTCCTTCCAAGCGTCGGGGATGGCCTCGATGATGATGATCTCTTTCTCTTGAATCCCTCTTCCTTGTCTCAGTAGTTGTTTCAGCTCATCATTCGACTTTCAATTACCCCTGACTTCGTCCCTGAGGTCTTCGATACGGAGTACACCTTTCTCAATCCATCTACGCCCGAAACCTCCTGTTGAGTTATCGACTTTGAACCACTCACTAGCGTCCTTTCAAATGTGTGGGTTCTCGAAGATAGGTTGGTCCATAACTTCATCTTTAGTAACTGGAACTACCCACACCTCAGGTCTGAGTAGTCTCCAGGACTAAATGATTGCTTTCCAAAAAGAGAACTTAATAAACGAGCGTTGGTATGAGTGTAACATCAGACAAGTCAATACATGAGATGGGCGAGTGAGATTTCATTCCTGTGATAGAATATATTCAGCAAGTGACACCCAGTTGGAGTCTGTGATAGTCGCAACTATTACCATCCAATTTATCACCATGGCGTCATTCTCTCTTTACCTAGGCCTCCTTGGTCAGGAGGGAGAGAGCGATTCCCAGGCAACTTTAGAAAGGAAGGATTCCTCGTTCTTCGCATAAGGTTTCCACAGAAACTTCGTTGCTCTTCTCTTTATCAGGTTGTACAATTGCTTCCCGAAACCTCTTGTGGTGCAAACTAACCACAACAATGCGAAAAATGCACCATTTATTACCATCCCTCGTCCAAACGGTGAGAGGTGGGGGGCTTTGCCCCAAGTTACCAGTCTAAGTAGAGTTTTCTGTAGTAGCAGGTCGTCCTGATCCCCACTACATGAGAGGAGGGAGATATGAACCCCCAAAAATTGCTCGGACTATTCCTCGTTAACTCTATGCATGCCCCACTGAACGACCATCGCATAGGTGGGGGAGAGGAAGAAAGTAGACTTGTGTCAGTTTACTGCGGCTCCAGAAAGTTGTAAGTATTCATCTAAGCACTCTTTCACTGCTGAGAGTGAGGCCGTCGAGTTTTCTGAGACCACAAAGAGGTCATCCGCTAGTGCTTTAACTTCATACTCTAGTTGGCCCCTTGTCAGACCGTGGATAATAGGGTTAGCTCTAATGTTACTCAACAGCGTTTCCATCTGAATTGTGAAGAGTAGTGGAGTCACCCTCAGTCAGGGGGCAGCCTTACCTTAGGGACCGGGATAGGGAGAAATCGTTTGACAACCTCTCATTCACTAACACTGCTGTTGTCGACATTGAGTACATAGTAATCACCCACTTACAACAAGAATTTCCAAAGCCCATTACTTTTAGCGTCGTCATAACATGTGACCAATTAACTCGATCGTATGCTTTCCAAGAGGAGTACAGACAAATTTCGGCCTTCGTTATGGATGATTTCTAACCTTTCGGCAATAGTCACTATGCTGGTGAAAATTAATCTGTCTTTTATGAAGGCGTCCTGGTCTGGTAATACTAGCTCTAGGAGGTATCTCCCTAATCTCTTCGCTAGAATCTTAGCTAGGAGCTTGTAGAAAACATTCAGGACAGAGACTTGTCTTCAGTTTTTTATTTCGGATCTATCACCTCTCTTAAACAGAACTGAGATAATGCCTCTACACATACTCGTAGATAGGATTCCACAGACTAGTACTTCGTTGTAAATCTTGACCAGGGGGTCCCCTACCTCATTCCAAATAGATACGTACAGTTTCACCGAGAAACCATCGTCTCCGGGGGACTTTCCTTATGCCATCGCGCTTAATGCTGTGTGGGTTTCTACCGTCGTGATAGGGCGGTCAAGGTCCAATCTAGCAGTGTTTAAAGTTCTCACTTTGGTGTTTGACCAATGGTCATTGTTGAGATGGAGGTTGTCCACAACTGCAGTGCCTTGGACTTGAGATGCCAGTATATCCTTGTAGTGTAGAGCGACATAATCACAATTTTTTTAATGGTCTTTGGCCCTTAGGGCAGCAGGGTCGAAGGGATGAGCTAGTTTACGCATCGGGGCTGTGCATCTTCTTGGCAGTAAACGTTGGAATAACTCTTTTGTCATTTTGTCATAGACGGTGATACCTTTGATCTGCAGCCTTTCCGACCACTCTTCGGATTTTTATTTCTGCAGGTTATCCCATTTAGTCATGAGTTTAGCCATTTCTTTACCCCATATCAGATTGGAGATTGGGTGCGTATCCATTCTCATCTCTGCGTAATTAATTATCCTTTGAAGTGATTGTTCCCGTTAGTTCCGATTGCTTGCCAGGATTCACGAGAAGACTGACAAAAGATTTGAAAAAATATGAGATCCAGTTTCCAACCACTCTGGTGTTGTATGGTAAGAAATTCTAGCCATTTTCCAACTAGCCCATAATTCATTCATCCACTTTACCAATCCCTCATCCTTCAGGTTCTGCGTATTCAACCGAAAATATCCTCGACCTCTACTAAAAGGAGAGGATATTATTGTTTGAATAATAGACATGGGGTGGAACCACTCCGAGAACGTCATTGTCTGAATGTATCAGACGATAGGGATCAATCAGCTCTAAGGAATTCACAAGATTAGTCAAAGTCAGTTTGTCTCCTGGGTGTTGTGAAGCTATAGAGACGTCTAGTAAGGAGTTTCAATCACCGACCAAAACCAATTTGTCGCATACCGGAATAACAAACAACAAGTCTTTAAAAAATATGTGTCGTAATTGAGGGTCTGCGGGGGCATAAATCGATGCAACTATCCAGTACTGATCCAGGATCAACAGTTTGATCCAAGCCCAACGACCCCATAAATCAGCATAGTAATCTACTATTTCTGCATCAAGGGTTCTATGAATAAGAATTTTGACTCCCCCTTTGGAGCCCATGGTAGGAGACCAAATTTGCGGGTCATCCCAGAGAATTGGAGATATCAAGGACCACTGGGCCCTCCACCCCAAGGAGCTTCCAGCGTTAACATATCAACAGCGGTGTCGTCCTCAGCTCAAGCATCAATCGGTGGCGGATTCACTCACTATATGAACCCCGCCTTTTCACCAAACCTTCATGCGACCCCCAGCCTTGCCCATCTTCAAGGAGGACCACCATGGATTTCCTCGACAGTCATGCCATCGAACGTACCAGGCATGTCGTATGGCATACTGCCTGGAATGGGTCAGTCATCAGCCTTCACTCTATACCCATCAAGCTATACGGCAATAGGAGGAACCCTCCCCACATACATGGAGGCGGGTCCGACAGTGAGTGTAATGGGTGGGAACGTAGTCCCCATCCTTGGCATTCACGGGACAGCTATAGCTGCGGCGGAACAGGCTACATCATCAAGACCTCCTGCTGCTCGTGCTCTTCAGTTAGGTACAGAACCGAGCTCATCCCGCATTCGTAGTAACACTGCCGGGAAACAGAGGCGTCGACCTTCCACTTGTGATTGTCTGCCTCCATGGTTTGAAGATGCTGCTCCGTTCTGTTGACGGCTGTTCCTTTGGCAGTCTGTTTCCGAGTGGAAAAAAGCTCGACAACGCCGACAACGCGGGGTCGTTGATGAGGCCAGTTTGATTTCCAACTCGTTTCCTTCAGAGGTATCGATCCAAATTTTATCTTTCATATTATCTCTCGCCGCCGGGTCAACATCAACCAGCGAAGGTTTGATGCGATCCTGTTCTGGCGGATAGGAGTTTACCACTCTTAGACTACCAATCACGCGACTTACTTGAGCTTCCAGGTAAACATATGCATCCAATGGGACTTGAACTGCTACTACCCAAAAGTTTCCCTCGTCTTCGACTTGTCGTTGCTGCCTTAACTGTGCCTTGGTAAGCCATGGCTTAAACTCAAAGGCATAATGAGAATTACCCATCGTTAGGTCATCGTTCCCTTTTTCCACTAGCCATCTTGCCACTTCGCTCGACTTCGCCACATAGGAGATCACATTTGGAGATTCGATCTTAACTCTTCCTCGGCGAAAGGTCTGCACGTCAAAACCGCCATCGGCCCATCGGAGATCTTCTTGTCTTCGTATCCTCGAACTATCTTCCTTGACATTTCTTGGCAGAAACCTCGCTCCGGAACGGAAGATAAAAGTCACCGTACGCTCTTTCAACCAGTTAATTTTTGCCTGGTCAAGGACGACGTTCACTCTGAACCTCACCTCATGCCCCTCCACTGTCATTTCTCCTGGATCAATGTCCGGAGGCATGATTCCTTCGTCATAACACATCCTCGTCAGTTCGCGTAGTCGGTCATTATCCTGATTGACCTCCCCAGGGACTTGGGGGGGTGAACGTGCGTCCCTGTCTCCATTCTCTGTCTCCATGGATACTTGGATACTAACGAAAAGGAAAGAGGGAGAACGGAAGACTCTGGAGAGGAGGGTTAAGGTAAGAGATTGAGATATAACTTAGTGGGTGATTGTGGCGAACCACACCAACCTATTCTTCTTCCACACTGATCTTGTGTCATCCGAGGAGGATCTAAGGTRAAGCACAGGAACAGAGGCCCTTCCCGGTGTTTGCTTGGACTGCCCCCATGGCTACAGTATAGCTACTGTCTAGCTATGACCTCACAACAAAGGTAGTTGCCGGCGCCTCAAAACTACCGAGGGCATATCTCGGTGGTATGCCCCGCGGCCAAACACTCCCCCCTTACCAGCCCAGGCCGAGGAGACGCTTGGTCCGCGTGTCGCAGCACGGGTGGAAGCTTTCCGGTCGGACCTCCGTTTTTTTTTGTTTTTTTTTTTTTTAACAAGGAAAATCACGTTATTCCAGATGAAGGAGAGGCCGGGGACCCCACAATTCGTTTTCGTACGAATCTGCAAACACAAACAAGATCCAGGACAAAAAAAAGATAAAGCCGATGAAGATGCAGGACAGAAGAGGAGCTGTAGGGTTCGAACTCAGCTCTGCAGTGTGGAACCAAATCTGATTTCATTCATCCGGTCTAGCTCCAGTCGCGTGTGCTCTACTGGTAGTTTTATCGGCCTTGAACCCGCGCCGCCGCATATCATTCGCTGTTACAGCAGCAAGTCTTCGGTGCGGCAAGGCCCTTACTCTGCTTCCCTCATGCTGGATTGGTCGTTCGGCCTCTTCACCTCCCTTATAAGTTATCACCCCTCCTCCTTGGTGGCAGACCCTTTCGTTCGAATTCCTTATAGGTTGTGCCTGCGCCGCGTTTTGCACAGTCCGGCAAGTGCCGTGTGTTCCGTCGGGTGAGTGTCTCCTCCATATCTTTTTCTCCTTCTGTCCTCTTCTTTCCCTTATTTCCTCCTCCTCCTCCTCCTCGTCTTCGTCCTTTGCTTTGTACTCTGTGTAGTCCCTGTCTCTTATACACATCTAGATGTGTATAAGAGACAGGGCAGACCCTTTCGTTCGAATTCCTTATAGGTTGTGCCTGCGCCGCGTTTTGCACAGTCCGGCAAGTGCCGTGTGTTCCGTCGGGTGAGTGTCTCCTCCATATCTTTTTCTCCTTCTGTCCTCTTCTTTCCCTTATTTCCTCCTCCTCCTCCTCCTCGTCTTCGTCCTTTGCTTTGTACTCTGTGTAGTCCGATGTGTTGGCTCAGGTCTTTGGCTATGGTAGGCCTCGGCGGGAAAGACGTCGGTATTTTTTTATTATTATTATTTTTTAAGCAAATGTTGTAAATGAATTAGAGGAGCGTCTTTTCTTTTTTTTCTATTTTTTTTTCCACTCAAAGGAAAGGTTTTCAGGGGTGAAAAAAGCTCCATTGCTCTCTCCCCTCCGCTCCTACCGAGAAACTGGGGCTTCGTTCCACTGCTCACCACATGCACAAAAGACAAAAACTATGGCAGTGTATCTTTCCATGTTCTAGGGGAAGATTCATCGTCATTTTGAAAAATTGACGAGTAGTGGGGCAAGGCTCCTGGGCTGAGAAGACGGCTGAAGAAGATGTCGCTCTCATTTTTTTTTTTTTTTTTTGAGGAGTTGTCAATTTTTCTTCCACGTGGCAAAGGGCTTCCCTCCGTTGCTCACCAAAATAATGTGGAATATACGAATCTTTCCCTAGAACATTCAAAAATTCAGAGCCGATTATTATTATTTTATAATTTTTATTACTATTTTTTGCCCATGTCGTTGCGCAGTGGAGCGAGGCCGACAGTTGGGCGGGGGGCGGGGGAATAAGGTGACTGCATTCTAATATTTCTGGCGGGGGAGGTGACGTGCTAAATATGCTCGAGAGGACAAGCGGGTAAACAAGCGTGAAAGGGGAAAAAAAAGAAAAAAAAAAGGGAAAGAAGAAAGGTTAATGAAGAAAAGGATGGCAAGCGTGAAAAGAGAGATGCTGCAAAATTTTTTTTTTTAAAGAAGAAAAAAGAAAAGAAAAGGGAGGACAAGAGTTCACGCAGGTAAGTAGTAATCGCAAGCAGGACTTGGGATACGAAAGGGGGGTGGGTTGGAAATGGGAAAGTACTTAGCCAAAAATCTACTGCTCATCTCTCGACATACTACTGACACTAGGACGTAATCAACTGATCTTTTGAGGTAAACGCTTTCAAATAGTAGTACACCAACGCCTGGCCGGAATTGCGGTCGGATGCATCTATAACAAATTCCTACTGTGAGTATGCACATCGTCCTCCATCCTCCTTCCTCTTCGTCCTCCATCATCATTCATCCCCCAACCTCTTCGTCCTCCATCGCGTCCCCTCTTTCTCTTTGAATTTCATTGTCATCCATCTCTCCTCCATAGCCCTCTTTGTTCCTTCTCCATTGCCCTCCATCGTCCTCCATCGTCCTTCCCTTTTTGCCCTCCATAATCTTGCTTCCAAATACCTCCCTCCATCGTCCTTCATCGTCTCATCCCTCTCTCCTCCATAGTCCTCTTTATTGGTTCCCCATCGCCCTCCCTTTTTGCCCTCCATAATCTTGCTTCCAAATACCTCCCTCCATCGTTCTTCATCGTCCTCCTTCATCCTCCCTCTTTCTCCTCGATCGTCGGCTCCCGCCATCCTCCATCGCCGTTCCTCTCCGTCCTCTCATCGTCCTCCATCATCATCCATGTCCATCCTCTTATCGCCCTCCGTCATCCTCTCTCTCTCCTTCCTCTCATTGTCCTCCATCGTCCTCTTTAGTGAGGTACTATGCTAGATCCATCCCTTGTTTGTGGGCTGCTGAAGTTGTGGATTTCATCTGGCTCTGCAGGGGACATCTTATTGCTTCTACCCTACGCTTTGGTGTTTCACTACCTGGAATAATCTCGATAGTGCGTGAAAAAAATCTCCCTTTCTACAACTGCAGCGCAGCTGGCTCCCTTTCTACAAGGTAAGTTTGGGATAATCCCCCATCATCTGGTTCATCTCCCTACTATGTGTTTTTTTTTTTTTTTTTTTTAATTTATTTATTATAACCTACTGTGTGTTTTGCAGGCCTGTCCCTTGGCAGACACAAACATGAGATAAATTCTCTCTTCCAGGTTTTTTCTATAGTAGGCTAAAACGTCTGGACCACAAACCGGCACAAGGACAACCGGAGGACTCCTGTACGCATTTAGGGCCACATCCCACTGGCAAGGGACGATTGGAACAAGTGTCTGTGTAGGTAGGTCTCAGGGCTGCCTACGCGATTCATTTCTGTCCTGCCACGTCGGTAGCTTGCTATGAATTCTTGTGTATATCTGTTACGATGTAAGAGAACTTCTTAAACCAGCTACGCTTGCGTCTCCTGTATGATCCGTAAACGCTATAGAGGAGGCGGCTAAGACCTCTTAGACTATTGTCTTGTCTTGTTTCCCTGTGTATTTTGACAACAGCGCTCTGTGATGCCATGGCCGGTGTCACCACACTTCGTGTACTACGTGCCCCCAAGGGCGAGGAGGAGGCTAAGACCTCTTAGACTATTGTTCTTGTCTAGTTTCGCTGTGTATTTTGACGACAGCACTCTGTGATGCCATGGCCGGTGTCACCACACTTCGTTTACTACGTGCCCCCAAGGGCATAATATTTATCACTCCAGCGTCCAGACTGCCTATGACAACCTTTCTTTGACCCATTCCGGGACTGGTTTGGGGGCTTGAAGTTCGTTTTTTGTTCCCTTGCTGGCTCCTTGGAACCTCTTTCCCTACTAGCCTTTCATGCACACAGCTAATCCACCCTGAGCTCATCTATAGATTCACTACTGACTTGAAGTTTCTCTTACTCTTAAGGTAAAGGAAACAGAAGTTGAGAGAAGAGTGTAGAAAGAACAGAAAAAAATAAAATAAAAAAATTCCCACTTCTGAAAGATCTACTTTTTGTTGATTCCCGTCAGTGTCGATGATGTACAACAAGTGTGAAGCTTTCTTTCACTCTTGGGGGAACTTCTTCCTTCGCCGACTACCGCTCCCAATGGACACTTCGCGTTCCTTAGAGTTTCCTGTGACTGCAATGCTTTGCTGCTGCGTGAAGCGAAGTCATTCTGCTGTGTGTAGTGTTCGCCTCACGGGCCAGTCAGGGTCCAGTAGGAGATTCCTAACACATTTTCAGGCTACCGTAGGGATCTGAGATAACCCGTCAAGAGCACGTTGAGGTTGACAATGTAGGGAAAAAACAAAAACAAAAACAAAAAAACAATGTAGGAAACCCCGAGGACCTTAAAAACAAATGAGGCGTTCCACGTTTTTCGGTAACAGGGTGTGCAGCTCCGTACCAGGTCCTAAGAGAGCTCATAATATGCAGCCTTCACTGCCGCTGTTCTGTCCTGGAACGGCTGCTCTGCAAGGCCCAGAAAACTTTCTAGGGTCTGGGTCTTGGCCCAGGCCCCAAGATCTTGCCCAAATGCCGTTGTCATGACGACACCATTCATCCAATGGCATGCGAATGCAGCGCCTTTCACCTTGAAGAAGGATTGTCGCCGTAACTTCCTTCTCCTCCGGTTGTGTCTTCTTCACCCTCACGAACTCTGGGACGGTCCTCGACCAGGTGTCCAGGATCTTTTTTTTTTTTTTTTTTTTTTTTTTTAAGGTGTCCTCGATCTGACCTTTCTCTATCCCCATGAAAAGGGGCCGACTTTTCCAAAGCAGTTTTGGTGAAGGGAAGGATATGGTAGCAGAAGCGAAGGGTTGATAGCACCCAACGCCCCCTGCTGATGGCATTGACGAGCCTGTAGTGGGACTGAAGACGTATGTAGTATGTACCACCCACGGCCTGTGATGCAACATTCGCAGTGATACCTGATGACACACTGTCAGGCATGTCAAACGGATAGTATTACATCTCTGGTCGCTATCGTACCAGCGGGAGTGCACCGCCACCAACTAAGGAAGGTAAGGAAGGGTAATGGTAGCGGTCCGACAGCTGGGACCTGCAGTCCTGATGTAAATAGCGGATATAGATTGAAGGTAAATTGTCTGCCTTCCAAGCAGGGGCTATGGGTTCGATTCCCGGTATCCGCAATTGCGATTTGAACAAAAAACAAAACGAGATATGTCACCACGGTGGTCGCGGGGACTGTTGTCCTTGCCAGAAATTTGCCCAGCTTGCACTCAATGGACTCAACTCGGTAAGTGAGGCCGAGTACCAGATCGTACACAAATTGTCTCGTTCTCTGTTACATAGGTAGGATGTTGCAGCCCATCTCTCAAAACTTTTTTACGTCCTCTGTCTGTGTGTGTCTGCACGTGCCTGTGTTTCACGTCGTCTTTCCTGTGTGAGTTTTAGTTGCCTGACCTCTCCTTCTAACAGCTGTACGCGTACGCCCTCCGCACACTGGCTGAAACTGCCGACTGCAGATTGATGAGGCATACAGTATTAACCGAAGTGCTCACTGATAAAGCAGCAGACTGAGAACCCACCTGTGCTCAAGAACAGCCATTGTTGATCTTACCCTTCGCCCCCTAAGCTCTCCCTCCCCACGATCAGGCAGGCTAAAGAAGACGTACCGGACGTGATGGGATGCGGGAGGATATCACAAAGTTCTACAACTCCAGTTCTTTTGTCGGACCACTCATACACTTCGGAAATATATAGATCTTGTGCTCACCTACCGCAAGGTATTTTGTTTCTACCTTCCACTGTTCAGTAGCTGATTGGGTGTGAATTTGACTGTGGACATACCCAGGATGACTCAAGTTTCACCGGTGCTGCTATACATACGTACGAGACCCTAGTGTGAAACATGCTCTTTGACAGCTGTCTACAATCAAGCGGAAAATTAACAAGCGTAGGTGGAGTGCAGATCAATATCACAGTGTCTGTCAGAACATGCCACCGGGCGGTCAGTCCTACAGTCTAATAACGACTCTAATCAAAAGAAACAGTCAATGCTATAAATTTTTAAATCGGAAAAAATGGCAGAGAGGTATTTGCAATAAATTTAAACGAGTAATTCATTGGCATCTACTTCTGTGACGTTCACCGTGTTCCAATTATCACCCCATTTATCAACCCCTTTATCACCCTCTTTATCACCCCCTTTATCACCCCCTTTAATGACTAGTACTCATTAAGTGTGGAAGCGTTGTGTCTTACAGCAAGCAACCCGCCCCAGGGCACAAGCGGCCCAACGTGAATGACCACGTCTCACTTGGAGTGCAAACAGGGCATCTGGACATCCATTTGTCTGCTTCACTATCGCCAGCCAGGGCTGGCATTTCAGCAGCACACACACGCATGAGTTCTTTCCTGGAAAGGTCATGACCGTAGATGACCTAATCTACGGACCCTTAAATTTTTATAATTTTCTGTGAATTCCTCTGAGCACGAAAAATCGCCAAAGTTGTCGTACGTCGTCAGAATCTGTTAGCCTACACATGGTAGAGTGGCAAAAATGGAAATGCGCCCAATAGGCTTGGTGATTATTTTACAATCAAAATGTTTTCTTTTTTCTTTTCTTTTCTGATATTTTTCCTGGAAAGATCATGACCTCATCCACGGAGCCTCCGAATTTTAAAAGCTTTCTGTGAATTCTTATGAGCACAAAAAGTCGCCAAATTCGCCGCTTTGAAATTGCGTGGCTAGGTAGGCCCGCCTATTGGCAATTGTGGTAGCCGCCCCCCCATGAAAAACCCGCCGGAACTCAGAGGGAGGGCAATTTCCAAGAAGAGGGTGGAGCAGTGGTTTAAAAAGAAGCTACAGTCTTCAGCCGAACACAACATACGGTCATTATTGCTATATCTACACTGCAAGTTGCCCCAAATACAGCTGTAATGACCGTGTGTATTCATGTGAAGACGGTAGGGGGTAGTGGTGGTGCATAACCCACCGATACGTTTTCCAGCCATTTTTTCAGAGTAGCGGCGCACATGCAGCTGTGACTCTGGGGCAGTACCAGGGTGCCGTGTAGCTGGATATCCATCCAGGCAAAACGGGCCTTGCATGCTGCCCTTTTGCCCAACTAATTGGATACCGAACTAAATGGCACCCAGGTACTTCCCCAGAGTGGCAGCTGCAAGCATGCTGTGACACTGAAAAAATGGTTGGGAAAAGTACTGGTGGTTCGAAAAAAAAAAAAAGGATAATGAACAGGAAAGAATGACGAGGAGGAGGAGGACTCTCCCGCCCTCTCTTTCTGCCATGCTTTCTCCCCCCGTCCTCCCTTCTCCTACTCCTAGCATATCCTTTTCCCCAGCCCTGCCCCTTGGCCCGCGCTGTGCCCAGTGGGTAGAACTTGTATCCATGAAAGTGGGACTTGGCCCCGGGGCCAAGTCCCAGCAGCAAAGTTAAGTTTCCTCAACGCCTGAATCTGGACGTGTCAACAGCACATCTCCACAAACACGTCCAGATTCAGACGTTGAGGGAACCCAATGCTGCTAGTGGGACTTGGCCCCCGGTTTCAAGCAGAGTACATCGCCACTAACGAGACAGCCCTACAGGCGAAAAGGAAAAAGAAAAAGGAAAACATTCTCCTTTTTTCCCTATCCTTCTAGTATTTGGAGCCTCTGTCCACACCCCTTGCAAACATGCACCTTTATATAAGGAAAGTTAAGTATTTTCAACAAAGCATCGTTCCACCCCTCCCTTGAAAGTGAAAGACGGCGGCCCTCAAATCTCGAGTGCGCCCCAGGCAAAACGGTCCGAGCAGGGCCCGATGGTACACCTGCTCCGTACGGAAAATCCCACGGACCGAACAAATGCGGCGCGCCGGACAGGGCTGCAGTGGGGCTGTACCCATCCAACCGGACGGAGGCGAGGATCAATTAAATGAAATTCTTTCAGAATCCGACAGTATTGCATGACACCCTCTCTCGTCTTTTTCGGTGTGTTGTACAGGTTGTATTTCCTGCTGGCGTTGTTTGTTTTTGCTCAGAGCAGCCGCCGTGCTTCCTACTGGCGTGGTGTAGGAAGGCAAGAGCTTCAGCTTCGTCGATGGCGGGGGGGTGGGAGATGTCGTCTTCAAGGAGGTCCGTCTCCTTGTTGCCGTTGCTTCGACTGTTGGCCATCGCCACTCTTTTCATCTGTCCGGCGGTGGCTGTTCCCGCCAACAATTTCGCTGACTTGAAGAGGTTGTTGGCGGATACGAGTGTGAGCGCAATCGAGGTGAAGGCTGACATCAAGTTGACGGAGGACTTGCCACAGGTCAAGCGCTCGATCCGCATCGTTGGACAGTGTCCAGGTGGCCGACAATGTGTGGTCGATGGTGACTCCAAGTACCGTATCTTTCTCATCAGCGGATCAAGCGGATGCTCTCGCCCCGCTCCAAGGCTCCGTGTCGACATCAGCAATTGCCGTCTTATCAATGCGAGAGCTAATTTGGCTCAAGTTGAAGGGTGCGGGACTTTGCAGTGGGATAGTGGGGCAGCTCTGAGCTTGATTGTTGTGGCGTCAGCCACGGTGAGGGGCGTCAATTTCGAGGGCAATGCGGCCCCTGCTCGCTCTGGTGGCGGCTTGGCCGTTTACTCGTCAGGATTCTTAAGTCCGATTTCAACTCTTGATATCGCCAACTGTGTGTTCCGCAACAATCGCGCAGGCAATACCGGAGGCGGCATCGACCTTGACAGCGGCGTGAAGACGACCATCACTTCCTCAACCTTCATTAATAATGCTGTTACGTCGGACGTGTCGGCGGCGTTTGCAGGAGGAGGTGGTGCGCTGTCAGACTTTTCTGGGAATTTGCAAGTGATTGGCTGCACGTTCCAGAACAACACGAACGCGTTCGGCCTTGGCGGCGCCGTCAACATTGGCAGCATTTATGGGGTGCCGCCTGGCCGGTCGGATTTCCAGTCGAACACATTTGAGGATAATTCCGCGAAGGAAGGCGGCGCCATCAGCGTGATTAGGGCGGGAGTGTCCATCTGCAAGAACACGTTCACGAACAATGTGGCGACTGGTGCCGGCAGCGCCGTTAGGAGTAGCAGCAACGTGCTCGTAGTCCTTGACAGGCACCCGGCCAAGTTCTGCCCGCGCATTCCCGCTGGCACTCGCACCGTCTGCACGCGCGATTACAGGGGACCTGGCTTCTCCATTCTGTCGGATGCCCCTTGTACTGTGAGCGACCAGGTGCGTGTAGTGTGCGGTAATGGCGGGAGCTGTTTGCCCCGCGGAGTGGATATCAGGACACCAACCGGTCGCCTGGCAAGCTTTCTCCTGGACGAGAAGCGCACCAAGCTGACACTCACAGAGAACGTCGTGCTCACCGAGGGCCTTCCCCATCCTTCCCTCCTCAGAACCAAGCCAATCACAATCACCGGCAAGTGCCCTCGGTCTCCCGGTGGAAGATGCGTGATCGACGGCCAGGGGAAGTTTACGGCCTTCATCTTCCCCGTGCACGTGACCATGGAGAACATCGAATTTCGGCGCGCAGCTCTGACGGCCGTCAAGGCGGATGGCGGCTTCATTGGCAGGAACCTTGTCTTCACACGGAACAGTCGGCCTGTCAACTTTGACGTCTCTCCGAACGACGCCCCTTATACGGCGGGACTGTTCATTTCTGGAAACTTCACTATTTCAGACTCCACCTTCAGTGAAAACTCTGGTTACTCTGCGGTTGCGCTTGCCACCTCCGAAGGCGACACATTCACGAGGGGAGTTATCTCAAAGTGCACATTCAGTAAGAATGTGGCGGCGCGCATTGGCGCTGCAGTGAGTTTGGGTGGGGAGAGGAGCAAGACTTCGTACCGCGTGGCGGACTCGACTTTCATGGGGAACACGGCCGCCCAGGCGGCCGGAATCGACGCAAGTAATGGGCAGGTGGAGATCGTTCGTTGCACTTTCAAGAACAACAAAGCGACCAAGTTCTTTGCTGGGGCAGTTCTTATTGACGAGTACGAGAAGTTTTCCCTTTGCAACTGCCAGTTTTCTGGAAACACCGCCAAGGAGAGCAACAGCAGCAATCTCTTCGTGTCGCAGGTTACCACAATACCGGCGGCGACTCTGTTCTGCCCTGCTCAACCTCCTCAAACGGAATTCAACTGCAACTTCAACGGCGATAGAGACGAACCGTTCCCTTGTTTTCCGATCACGATCGGAGGGCCAGGATGTGCCGGCTGTCGTTAGCTGCTACTTACAACAGCGAGAGAGTTAAGTTAACAGCAGCGAGAGACTTAGGCGGCAGGTGGTAGGGGGTTTGCACGCGGGATGTCGAGAGCCAATAAGGGGTACTAAGAGTCTCGGTGGGATTTAGACTTTAGAAAGTTCAATTTTCGCTGTTGGTCAGGGAATCGCTGTTGTCAATAATGTTGTCGATGGTTCGAGCTGAGCGCTGTTGTCGTTAAGTTCTCTGTAATCTTTCCAGAGGGCGTATGATGCGAGAGGGGCGGGGTTGAGGGTCCCTCCTGTATTCTTCGTTCGTGCCACTTTGTGGAGGTTTATTTCCTCAATTGGCGGCAAGAAACAGAACTGCGCTCGAGTCGAAGCTTGACCCGGGCATCTGTTTTTTTTTTTTTTTTTGTCAAGGAGCCGTGAGAATTGGTCTCTGTGCCTGTGCTTTCAGGAGTGGGTATGTACTGGTTGCTCCGTCTCTGCGGAAACGGAGTTTAGACAGCGCTTTTCTTCATCGAGAAAGAGATCGGTCAGCATGGCGGGAAAGCCCTCCTACGGTAGTCATGTCTGAAGATGATTTAGTCCTTCGGTATTCGCCAGTTGGATGGATCGATGAAAAAAGGTCTTTTTGCAATTGCTGTTAAACGATAAGGTAGAAATAACTGATTACGTTATTTGAAACCCGTGTTGTGTTGATCGGGACGAGCTGGGCATAACATCGCTGGTTCAAGTTGTGTCCACTTCTGTAATTCTATCTCTACAGAATCAATCATTCACTGCCCGCAATTCGAATTGATTGGAGAAAGTTATTCGGGGTCATTGGAGCCATATGTCATTGGTGTTAAGGTAGAAGTCGGTGATGATGCATATGTAATTTATCCCGCATTGAGATGCTTTCGGTCGGGCTTTCAGAAGCGTGATCCGCAGAGATGCTGAGATTGGCATATTGCATGAGCTTCGTGCCAACGAGCGCCCTCTCCTCCTCAAATGGTTTCAGAAATGGTAATCATGGTCGTTGAAGTTGTTATTGCCTACGGTCCGTCTGAAGAGCCGGTCCTACCTACCTGTCTCTCTCCCACTCTCTCTCAAACACACCCACACACATCGCCTGTCTCCCACATATCTTGATGTGACATTGTGAACAGTTTCAGGAAATGAAAATACGTTTACTATCTGACTGAAGCACTGTGTGCCGTTCTTCAACGTGACGAACCGCTCGCCCCCGTCATTGTCTGCACCTTCTGCTCTCTCTCTCTCTCTCTCTCTCTCTCTCTCTCTCTCTCTCTCTCTCTCTCTCTCTCTCTCTCTCTCTCTCTCAGAGTCACACACGCACAAAAAAAAGAAGTGTTGCAGTGTATATTTCCATGTTCTAGCGGAAGAGTCATTCAAATTTGCTCATCCTATCGTCGCTATCTATGGAAGTAGCGTGAGGCCAGCCGTGGGATTGGAGACATACCTGTTGGCTAGTGCGTTGCTAATCCTATCGATGGACAACTCTCTCTCTCTCTCTCTCTCTCTCTCTCTCTCTCTCTCTCTCTCTCTCTCTCTCTCTCTCTCTCTCTCTCTC